GAATAAAATATTGGAAAAAATTTCTTATAGCGATTTTTAGGGTGGGGGGGATATTTTGTCTAGGGATATTTAGTCTGGAGATATATTGTCACGGGGATATTTTGTCGGGGATATTTTGTCCGGTGATATTATGTCGGGGGATGAAAAATCATGGAACCATTGTATACATTGACCGATTGCAGACATTTCCGTTAACATACAAAATTTTATCTGGATGAGATGAGATATCTTCAGCGCTTTGCGGGCGTAATTTTGTTAATGGTGAATATTATCAGAAATTTCTAATTACCTCGTAATAAGGTTCATTGTGTAAATTTCTCTTATTATCGTTTTTATTCTACAGGATAATTTCTACAAGAAAGAGAAACATGAAATTTTTGTTTTATTATTAGTTTCTGTGATAAACGGACGTAGCTAAATATGAAACAGGGGCCGATGGTCTTGCTTCTTGGTCGTAATTATATGTCCTTAGTATAAAAAGCATCTGACGAAGATATCAAAATATCCAGATCCGTATTCTGTATAAGTTAAGAAAATGTTTCTGTTTGACAAATCAGTCACATACAGAATATGGATTTAAATATTTTGTCTACTTCCCCAAGTGATCATACAAATGGCAATAAATTCGGTCATCGTCCCGTGTTTTATGTTTAGGTATATGCTAGATATAAGTATTTGGTATATTCGGTAAATAAGTATTTCGTAAACAATATTAACTTTTGTCTAGATAGACTTTCTCACAATACTTAAGCAAACAGCCATAGTTCACTGATAGTGACTAGGCCTTATCAAAAGAATAAGCTATAAATATTGGTACAGGGACATTCATCCCTCAGATGTGTTTCGATTCTTAGGTAATAAACGTCCATTGAATCCCTTATTACTGAATTAAACAACTTTAGTTTAAATAATTTATTAAACGACTCTGATTCAAAAAGTAGTTCCTTTTCATCTTTAGAAATGACTTCATCAGAAGATAGATTGTTGTTTGACTATTTAATTAAAACAATACCTGAGTTTGACGGATGTAATATTCCTGTAGCTCACTTTATTTCCAGTGTTGATTATGCGTATGAAAAAGTACCTAGCAATCTTAAAAAATTGTTAATAAATAAAAATTGCTTGCTCGAAATTAAGAGGCAGAGCAGCAAGTTTGATATTGAATAGGAAAGTTTCTCTTTGGCAAAGTATCAAAAATTTGCTTAATCAAAACTTCGTTTCTGAGAAATCTGCTGAAAGCTTATTTGGCGACCTTTTTAGGGTTAGAAATGAGAATAGCGTAAAATTAACCTACAATAAAATAGCTGAAATTAGGGATAAATTAACAATAGCTGTGATAGAAGGTATCAGGTCGGAAGCTACTGCTAGCGAGGCGGTTCAGGAATTGGTAGAAAAACTTTCTAGAAGCATTTTTTTAATGCAAATCCCGGCGTAGCTCACCTAAACGTGATAGGCACGTTACCACAATCGAATAAAATAATTCGAAGTGGTCTGTATTCTGTCGAAACTGCCAGACGCGGATCGCGATTTCGATCCCTTTGGATCTCATCAGCGCGCCGCAGGCAGCTCTGACAGAACACAGACCAACTCCTACCTGCTGCCCCAGACATTAGGGCTTACCGGCTATTATAGACGATTTATTAACAACTATGCGAAAATAGCTAAACCGTTGACATTACTAAAAAAGTACGCGCCGTTTATATTTTCCAATGAATGTGTAGAAAGTTTTGAAGATCTAAAAAATTACCTTACGTCGGAACCTATTTTGCAATATCCGAATTTTGAAGAACCATTCGTCCTAACAACAGATGCTTCAGGTTACGCAATTGGGGCAATTTTGAGTCAGGGACCTATTAGTAAGGATTTACCAATCGCATATGCATCGCGGACGTTAAACGGAGTAGAGACTAGGTATTCAAATATAGAAAGGGAATTGATAGCAATAGTCTGGGCATGTAAACACTTTAGACCGTACTTGTTTGGAAGAAAATTTAAAATTATAACTGATCACAGACCGCTCACCTGGTTATTCTCTATAAAAGACCCTGGAAGTAGACTAGCTCGGTGGAGGTTGAAGTTAGAGGAGTACGATTATGAGATAATTTACAAGAAGGGATCTCTTAATCGTAACGCCGATGCTCTGTCCAGCATTGAAACCAAAATACTAAATCAAAAGGTAAATACCGATATTTCGGATATTGTTAAAGACCTGAATAATTTCTTGGAAAAATCTGATTTACCCAAATCCACAGATTTGCAAAATTTGTTAGAATTAGCTGATGTATTAGAAAATGATGATTTACTTAATATTTTAAACCAAGATAACGACAGTATTTTGGCTCAGCCTAGTGAAAACTTGACTAACGACAAAATTCTTATATAACTTACCCAAAAATTTAGATAATGTAAAAATAGTAAAAGAAGCAATTGTTCCTAACGGTCCTACAATAACTTTAGACGATGAAAATAATAAATACCTCAATCTTATTAAATTAGACTTTGCTGACGAAAACAAAGTAGAAGACATAATCGTGCACCCATCAAAAAATTTTGATAACTTAGAATACTATCCTATTAAAGAGAAAGACCCAATTAGTATTTTTAATAAGTTAATTATAATTTTATCATCTTACAACACAGTTGCGACTGACATTTACGTACTTAACGCTGAAAAGACGCAGGACATAACTGACCAGGTTAAATATATTAGTAACAGGTTTAATATTCAAAATAAAGTCAATATCCTAAATTCATACTTTAGATCTCTCAATACCGATCAAATTAATAACATAATTAAGGAAACCCATTCGCCACGAATCGGTCTACAAGAGAGTTATACCATAGCTGTAAGAGTCACTTCCCTTTGCACTCAGGGTGGTAGTCTTACGAATTCTCTAATATATTTATTTAAAACAGGTCTGGTATATAAATTGATTCTTTTACACAATGGCACAGTATGCATACTTATTTATTTTAACTATTACTTCTTTAACATTTTCAAGCTTACTTCATAACGTTTAGATGACAAAATTATAAAGCGACATGCAGCATTTGAAGAAGCATATCTGTAGTTATTCATTACTATATGTAGATATTGTTGATTACCTTATTAATACTCATCTTTATATTAGTTATTTTCTAAAATTTCAGTACGTAATGTAAATTTAGATCATGTGTGAAGGGACTGCTAAAATAGAGCAAAATTTACCCCCTTCCCCTCAGAAAAACATATAGTTTAAATGCATATAAGTATGCTGATTGTAACTTACCAAAGGAATTCCCGCTTCTACTATTCTTTTCCAAACTTTACGTGTTTCATTCAATGTTTTGAATCCAAATCTACAGATAGAAAAAAGATACATTTTTTATAAAAAGCTTTTGTTCACCTAAAAAATACCTGCAAAAGTGGAAGCCTAAGCCCCAGTAGGGGGGCATAATGGATTTTCCAATAATTTCTGTATATTGTTTAATAACGTCTGATGGCAAAGGTCCCATAAAAAAATATAAATCCAAAATACCACCTAAAGCTCTGAGAGTTAATGCTGGAGTGGGTTGAAGAATAACTTCTATAAAAGAATTTTTTATTTAAAGGTGGTAGATAATGTAAAATTATACACTCATGTTCGAACCTGCATTGTCTTTGTTACCTTATTTAGTTTCACTTTTTGGTTGATAACTATCTCCAATTATTATCGAAACAATAACTAACAGCTTTTACGCTATTTAATATTTTGGTGTTTTGTTCAGTTGTTGGAGTTAACTAGTTGTTGGAGTTGTTACTAACTATTTCTAATACCACTTTCTACTACACTACGCAGTTATTTATTTATTTAGAAAACGAATCAATATTCAATAAAAAAAGGAATATAACAAATAATAATTGTGTTAATCAAACGTATTAACTTTAAGGAGAATTAGGAAGAAATAACTATTAGAATCATTGTATCATCGCATAGAATAACTAAACAATAGTTTACTAACAATAAACATTAAAATTTTGACAGCTAATGAATTAAAGGACGACAAAATAACAAACTTATAATGTCCTCAATTACTGATCGTAAGTGAAAAAAAAAAATTTTGATGACTGAACTTTCAGTTAACTCATGTGCATCCTCAGGAAGTGATGAATTTGACGAAGAAGGCCTTTCAACAATTTGAATGTAAAAATTGCGTCCTTACACTCGCTAACTAATTTCAAAGAAAATTGAGCTTAAGCAGAACTTCGTGATAGTCTAATCTATGAATTGAAAAGCCTCTATAGTGGAGTAAACGAAGGTTTTCACTTCGGAAAAATTTGTAACCAGGTAAACTTTGGTGAACAACATTCATCAAGTATGCTAGAACAACGCAGGCCGAAAAAGTGTCCGCGTCCTATTTTTATTTAACAATTTAAGAGCAAAAGTATAGTCTTTTGCGAATAACTTTTTAAGTTTCATTTGTACGTAAAAACTGATTGGGAATTAAATTGGAGTGAGTAGAAATTTGTTAAGTAAGGTCCCAAATGACACTTAGCCAATTGGCTGCTGACGCTGAAATATAGGTTTGCGGGAGCGTGCGTTGTACGATAACTTTTTATTACAAAAATTAAATGATATGAAACCAATTGGAAATGAAATTGTATCATTTAATTGAAGTATTACATGTTTTAACTGTTTTTTTTTTTAAATACTTTGTTACATATTTAGCTTGAAAGCGGACCATTGCATGAATTAACGATTATATAGTACAAATCATTGCAAAATAGCATAAAGAGAGTTTTTAAAGAGAGTACCTAAAATACAAATTTAACCAACAAAATTAAAATTTTGAGACCTTTAGACCCTAGTTATTTTTGTTTAAAGTAAAAATCAGTTTTTAAAAAACAGGAAAACCTTATTTAAACAGAATCAATACACTGAAGTGAAGAAATAATTCTTGACACGTGCATTAATATACCGTGTTTTGCTTACATTGCAGGAAATGCATAAATCTATCAAAATAATAGATTTAATTGATGTAATAGACAATTTGTTTACACAATGGTTTGATTGTTTTAAAAATGCAACGCAGTGCATAAGTTGTACAACTGTTTGCCTTGTGAGTGATCACGTTTGGTCCGATTTCATACTTCTCGGCTTCTTATTGGTTGTATTCTTCTATTATTTCATCAGTATTGTTTAGTATTTCATATTCGTCTATATTTGGTATTGTAGATAATGCTTCTAGGTCTTCAGCAGTCGTTTCTTAAGTGTTTAGTTTACAAATATCCATTTCGAGTCTGCTCAATGCTTTTTAGTACCTTGTTTTCTTTGCCTTTTTTGTAACGGACTTCATCAACTGATACTCAGCGAGTCGAATTTTCCCTTGTGTAAATCTTGAGTTTATTCCTTTGGCAGTAATTAGTCATTTTAAGGGTTGGTGATCTGTTTCGATAATAAACAGTTTCCCAGTAAGTATGGCCTAAAGTGCTTGCAAGAATCGACAACTAGAAGTTCTTTTTCTATAGTTGCGAATTGTACTATTTTGCGAAGGAATTCGCAAGTTTTAGATGATGTAGATAATAACGTCATCCATACATACAAAACAAAGCTTATGTAAACATTTTAGTCGTAATATTCGGAATAATTCCAGTTATGTTGTTGACAACATCGTGTTCTAATTCTAAAATTATTTCAGAACGGGGGTAACCATAGTTTTTCAGCAAAAGTTTCTTTGAAGAATCCTAATTGATGACAATCTTTGTACTAATGTATCGAGCAGCTTTGCCAGTAATACGAGATACAATTAGATAAAGTAATGTTATATTTTTGGCAGATGAAACGTTATTGCTATGAATTATAATGTTCTGTCTTGATGATGATGGTGATTCATGAGCACTACATATTGCAGATTAAGAAATTCTTGCTGTGCTTTAGTATGGTTAAGGGAAATCTTGACTCCAACTAGTAGAACAGTGCTAGCAACCTCAGAGAGTGGGATTACTGCGCCGGAATCATAAAATTATTGTATGAAAAAATTATAAAGTAGAAGAAAAATCGTCAAATTTAATTTTATCGCATTAAATACCTGATTGTTAAACGTTTCTAAATAGATTACCAACAAGAGCTTTGCCTCGGGACATGACACCACCACAAATTTGGCATGGTTAGAATGATTTGGTAAAATTAAAGTCTTTGGATATAGATGTTCGTATACTATATTGCTTAGAGGTTCTAAATTAGAACGTAGATCAAAGAAAGCAGTAATTGTTGGTTACTGCGGCGGTGTTTAACGGTTGTGGTTATCTGAAGAAGAAAAATTAAAAACATCTAGAGACGTCAAATTTGATGAGTGTCCTGGAGTGTAAGTTAAAATTTTGTAAGGAAAAGTAAAAAGAATCATCCCCAAAACAGTCTAAAATAACTGAATATAACACTGAAAAGATAAGGAGACGAAAAGTAGTGAAGATCAACAAATGAGAGAGAGGATGGAAACGAAGAAAGGGAATCAATCACAACAAACATTATGAACATAATGAAACCTTACCAGAAACAACAACTACATTAGGAAGAAAACCAGTACGACCAAAGGTATTAGACGCATATGAAGTTTATCCAGCTTACTGTTTGCTGTCATAAGGTGACTACCAAGAACCGAAAACTTTCAAAGACGCAAAGCAATCGCTCAAGCGGCAAAAAGCAATCAACAAAGAACTGATTTCTCGTGAAAAATTGAAAACATGCCAACCTGCAAAATTATCGGACGGTCAAATTGCTGTAGATACTAGATGGGTGTTTAAAGTTAAAGAAGATGGAATTAGAACAGCAAGATTAGTAGATAAAGGTACCTTATAATGAAGATAAAGAATTTAGGTATGCACCTTTGTGTAGATTATTAACAATTAGTATTCTAATTTCAATATCTGTACAAAAGAGATGGAAAATAAACGAAATAGACATCCCAACTGCCTTTTTAAATGGGATATTAGGAAATAATGTTTATTATTAAAGTACCTGAAGGAGTGTTAGGCTTTTGAATTGTAAGAATTTATTTTGTTTTATTTTCTGGTGGCGCCATCTGCCTTTGATGTGTATTACTTTATTTTATATTTTCTTTTTTAAATATCGATTTGTGTTCAAATGTTTGTATCTTTTTGTTTTAGCGGTTTGGTGACCAACGCGGTCATATTATTGATCGTCACCATTGTGTTTTTGAATATGGTCATACAACATTAACTACGTTACAATGTTCAATTTTTATTATAATAATTACGTATAATTTACATTTTTTTTAATTAAATTATTAACTGTTTAGTTCAGTGTTTTTATCTATCAAAACACATCATATGCAACTAAAAGTACTCATCAAAACGACAAGAATAACACGGTCCTTCGAAACCGATCGTTTCACGCTAAGTCGTCATCAATTCAGGATAAGCTGCAACGTGGAGAGCAGAGACCACAGCCAAAGTACACAAAAAAGTATATGGGCACTTTCATCGCAAAGCAAGGTACGATTAAAACCTGCCTAAATGTCGGAAAATAAAGTTAGGGCATTAATCAGAAATAGAGTCAATAGAAACAAAATTAATTCTCTTTAAAAACTACATCTAGTAGGTTTAGTAAAAAATTATTGAAAACAAAATTGAGGGTATGTTATCAATAGAATTGGCAAAGCTCATTCAAGATGCGCCACAATTATTAAGGGATTTTGATTTAACACAACATGAAATTGAAATATCGTGTTAAGATTCAGACTTAGTCAATGAAGTAAAAAAGCGTGAACGATTTGAAACAAATTATTATGGGGTTATGTCTTTAGCATTACTAACATCAAAATTTTGCAATCGAAGTAGGGGTCGATCAATCAATTGTAGAGGCATCGTCGAGAGAGCAGTTAACAACAATTTGTCAAACGTCAAATTACCGCAAATTCAGCTTCCAAAATTCGATGGCAATTATGATGGGTGGCTCGAGCTTCTGAATGCATTTAAAAAAAGGTTACACTTAAATCCTGTGATGATGAGCTGTGTGTGTTACACTTAAATCCATCGTTAGAGGATTTATATTTCAAGGTCATGCGTGAATATTCAGATGTAGGCCATATGTTTGAAGTTGACAATCCTTCAGAAGAAATTTCCTTCTACTTGCCGCATCACGGTGTATTATAAGAGGATATCCTCATCACCAACCTCCACGTCGTGTTTTTCTAGGTTAGCGGTTTTGGCTTTTCATTTAATGATTTGCAAATGACTGGTCCTGTATTATAGCAGGACTTACTAGCCATTGTTTGAAGATTTAGATTTCATCAATATGTCGTTGTAGCGAATATCACAAAAATGTACCGTCAGGTTTTGGTAGCTCTTGAACAAAGATGTTTACAGCAAATTCTGTGGCATGAAACTCCTTCAGACAATTTTTCAACATATGATTTAAATATCGTAACATATGGTACAACGACCGTATTAGCAATATGTTTATTCGTATTAGTGGAACAAAATTTAGAATCATTTTCACAGGCCTTTCGAATAATAAGTCTGGATTGTTATATTGACGATTTGGTCAACAGTGTTTGAAGATATTGAAGAAGATAAACAAATTTGCAA